GGGGTGGGACAGCCCCAAACCCCAGGAACACCCCCCACTCCCACTCCTGACCCATCCCTCGTCCCACTCCCACTCCTGACCCATCCCTCGTCCCCAGGACCTGATCCTGAAGCGCGCGGCCGACATCGCCGAGGCGCTCTACAGCGTTCCCAGGAACCCCGGGCAGATCCCGGCGCTGTCCAGCTCCCCCGCCCACAGCTCCATGATGGGCATCAACTCCTACGGYGGCCAGCTGGGCGTCAGCATCTCCGAGTCGGCCCAGGCCAACAACCAGGGTGAGCCCCGAGACGTTTCCTGAACCCCAAAATTCCCAATCCCAATAATTTTCCCCTCTGATCTCTCCATGTGCCCAGCAATGGACGGTTTTGACTCCCAAGGGTGGAGTGTCTGATCTGTGTCTGACCTGAAATGATTTTGGGTCTCTTTCTGATACCAACTCATCCCTGAATTTTCTCCCTTTCACTCTCAAAATACCAATTTTTTGGGATATCATCTTCATTTTCTTTATCAGAAATGGAAAAACACTCACAGTCGAGGAGCTGGGAGATTTTGTTTTGTTTTTAAGGCAGCTGCACCTGTGTTAATTCTACAAACGTTCCTATATTTTGTGCACTACATGTGAAACATCACTGAGTGCGAGAAAAGCATCCCATAAAATGATACATTAACACTGGAAAACATCCCATAAAATTATGCATTAACACGGGAAAACATCCCATAAAACAACATATTCAAATTGGAAGAATTACCAACTTTTCTGCCTCCCGAATATTTGGATTTTCAGCACACACAGCCTGTGGCTGATCGCTGTAATTGGCTGCRTCGAGCGCTCCGAGGCAGCAAACCTGGGTCCTACAAAGTTCATTTTTTTATCTGCCCACTTAAAACCCGTCACAAAGATAATTTTGCTCATTTTTTTTTTCAGGTCTTAGCAACCCTGAATTAAAACTTTGTGATGTAAATGGGCAGAAATGACCTGGCTTGACGAACTTTTATCAAAACAGTGATTGCTTTTAATGTAATTATTGTATCACCCTCCAATGAAAGCTTTTCCATGGAAAAACCTTTTTGGGATAATAATTGGAATAATAATCTTGGAATAATAATTTTATCCTTTTATGCTGGTAGCTACAGTGTTCAAGTCTTTTTTTGGAGTAAAAAAAAAAGCTAAATTTTTACTTTTAAATGATTTTTAGGATTTTTTAAGACAACAAAAATTGGTTTTACTTATCCAGTTCATTCTTTCTCCCAAACAGAATAATTTAAAGGTAAAACTACAACCTTTATATGGTTTATTTTTTCCCCTTAGTAATGGACTTCTTTTAACTGTAATTTACCTGTAAATCAGCAATTTGACAATAATTTGAAGAGTAAAACCTCCCCCATCCAACTGCAGAAAATCCCATGAATTAAAAACTCTACCCCAGGAAAAYAATATCGTCCAGGCCTCAGAATGAATTTAAAACTTCAATAAATCAGATTTTATCGGAAAAATATACATCAGATCAATTCAAAAAGTTGGGTTGGAACTTAAATTGGAAGAAAAAAAAACAGTGGATTTATTAATATTACCTAAATACTTTAATTAATCTGGATTGAATCGGATTTATTTAAGCAGGGGATGTACAAAAGGAACTTTTAAGCCACGCAAATRTTCTGAAATGTGGGGKTTTTTWWATTTTTCCAGGTTACATCCGTAACACCAGCAGCATCTCCCCCCGAGGGTACTCATCCAGTTCCACCCCCCAACAATCCAACTACAGCACCTCCAGCAACAGCATGAACGGCTACAGCAACGTGCCCATGTCCAACCTGGGCGTGCC